ACAGGAGGAATCAGTTCTAATGCTCTGTGGCACAGGAGCGTAACCATGGAGACAATAAACTACACTTCCAAGCAGCTGGTAGAGAGGATTTTAAATGCTCCAACACAAACCAAAAATGTCTGAAGTGACAGATGTGCTTGTTACTCTCATTTAGTACTTGAAATATTCTGTTTATGACTTGTACTAAAATATCACACTGTGACCCATAAATACGTACAATTATTAGGTAGCTATTAAAATATTTAAAAAACACTGGTTCCATATGGCCAATAAACATGAAACAATGCTCAATTTCACTTGTTATTCGGGAAATGCAAATTAAAACTACATTAAGATACCATCTTACCCCAAAAAGAATGGCCATCATCAAAAAAATAATAACAAATAGTGGTGAGGATATGGGGGAAAAGGAGCCCTTCTATATTGTTGGTGGGAAAGTTAATGAGTACAACTACCAGAGAAGTCAGTAGTGAGATTCCTCAAAAAGTTGAAAATAGAAATCCCATCTGAACCAGCTATTCCTCTTCTAGGTATCTTCCCAAAACAGTTAAAGTCATCCTATTACAGGGACACACACAAAGCCATGGTCATAGCAGTGTAATAAATAGCTAGTTCAGAAACAGTGTATCTCTGCTCATCAACAGACAAATGCACAAATAACATTTGATCTCTATACACAATGGAGCAGTACTCTGCCATAAAGAGAGATAAAGCTGAGGCATTCATAGACAAAAGGATGCAGACACACTTCAGTATCATGTGGCTTCTCTTATATGAAAACCTCAAAAAATAGGTAAGAGCAAAACAAAGATAAACAGGAAATAGGAAGAAGTTCAAATAACGCTCCACATCACTGCACTGCTTCAAACGCATTTTAAGATGCATACTAATTTGTCTCTTTTATACTACTTGTCTCTGTTCATGGAAGGAAAGTTTGTCCTTTCATTTGTCTGTTTCTTCTCTGTAAGAGAAAATCTTGTTCTGTTTGTGAGCTGTACTTTGAGTAACATTTTGGCTATTTCTAATATGGTCACACAGTGTATTAACCACTGTTACTCTATTATTCTGTTACAAATTTTCGTTTTATCACAGAAGATTGTTTATTTTCTTTTTAAATGTATGTGTGTGTTACATTAAAATAATGTTTTCAAAAGTAAATAAATGCTAGTTGTATTCACCAAACTGGTTTCACGGTCACCGAGTGGGTTGTGACTTAAAATTTAAAAGGCAGTATTTAATATGAAATTAAATCAAGTCACTCTGCTGATTCCCTAAAACAAAGGCATAAGCCTCAAGTCTAACTGACAGACTTTTAGGCCCTTTTTTAATCTCTAGAAAAAAAGCTAATGATTTCCTGGAAACACTAGCAGAGTAGACTTGACCACCGATGTTTTCCCAGTAATGAATGATAAGCAGTATGTAAATGTTTCCTTAAGAGCTGCCTGGTCTGAACTCAATCAAGAAAACAGGAAACAGAAGCCTCAAGCAACCCTGCAGCTCATGCGAGGGCCTGAGAGCCAGCATCGTGGCCAGTGAAGCACCAACAGCTTTCCGTAGGAAACGGTTTTAATGATTAATGGTTTTAAGATTAATAAACATGCTGAGGATTGGAAGATTTGTACTACTAAAAACTCAAAACTCACACACCATTTATACCCCAAGTAAAGGAAAGTATTTTAAACATCCTGTCTTCTTTTGGTCACCCAATATTTAACACTCGCTCTACGCCAACCACCACCGAACGGGGCACCAGGAGCGCAGTGAGCCATGAGGGCTTCCCGCCTGCCAGAGGGCCCCCTGGGAGGAAGGGGACTGTGAATGCACACACCAGCCAGGGGAAGGGGGCCGCACAGGGCAGCTGGTGGAGCTGGGGTCCCTTCCAGGCATGTGACCTGACACTTGCCAGGCTGCACGTGGACACTAAATCCAGTGTTCTACTGCAGATCTGAGCACAGCTTTACCCGTTTACCACATCCTGATGCTAATTGCACGTTCTAATTCACCTCACAAAGTAGGAATAAACACCATGCACAAAGGAAACTGAGGCATCTCAGAATGAGTAAAAATGAGGGGAGCTGCAGATATGGCGGCGGACTCTTTGTTGAAAGGCTTAGTGACTTGGGGCAAGTTATGTGGTTCCCAACCACCAGTGCATCATGTGCACAGTTAAAGCCCTATAAAACTACTCATCTGAATCCAGCCATCAGGGATCAGTTTCTCTTCCATTTCAGACATCCTCAGGGTGGCTAAGCTTCAATGGCCTTTGGCCAGCAAGAAAGAAAAAAATCAGTAACGATCTACGGATTGTTAATGAGAGAAAGGACAGGGATTCCCAAGGCACCACCACCGCATGCAGGTTGTTTGTTCTCAGCACAGAGGAGGCAGGGAAGTGGTGGCTTTCCAAGGGGCTGGAGAACCGGCCACCCAGAGGAACTCACAGAGCAGGGCCACAGCGCAGCCAGCCAGGCCTTCCAGGGACGCTATTCATGGGACTGCAGGCTCTGCATGCAGCCGTGAAGACCAAAGGAGACCTTGCAGTAGGGACCTGCCTGCACTCATTTCTGTTAACAGGCTGAGACTCACAGTAAGATGCAATCACAGAGAGAAATGTGCACCCAAGACGGGAAACCCTCACTACACAAGTGGTGTGGGAACGGCATGTTCCCCTTCACTCGGCTACTCACTATTCTTGACACTTGCATTGTTCTGGGCGGATTGCAGGTGATGTCCTCAGTCACAAACACGCTGTTTTGGAGAAAGTCACATACAAGTAAGACCTTTGGGACCCGGGATGTGTGCTCCATATGACTGAGGATGGCAGAGGTGAAGGTCAGGCTCAGGACTGCCCTGCAGTCATTTAAGCTGTGCCTCGAGCAGCACAGCCTGGCAGCCCGTGCCCTCCGGGCCGAAGGATGCACTCTGCCAGGAAGACAGGGCTCAGCCTGGGAAACGCTGTGCAGCAAGCAGATGCTCTGCACGGGAAGGGGCAAGGCCAGGCTCCAGTCCCACGCTGCCTCCCCACTGGGCAGCTGGGGTAGTTATCCACCCCCGTGTCTCAGTTTCCCCCTAAGTCAAATTCCCTCTTGGGATCCAAACTTGTCCTTTTCAGAGGTTTGGCATGAAGATAACCTCGGTCTGTTTCTCTTTTTTTCTTTTTCTTTTTTTATCTTTTGGGTGCAGGGTCTCACTATGCAGTTCAGGCTGGCCTTGAGCTCACTGTGTAGCCCAGGGTGGTCTCAAACTCACAATGACCCTCCTACCTCAGCCTCTCAAATGCTGGGATTACCAGTGTGAGCTACCTCAGCCGGCTTCCTCAGTCTGTTTTTACAAATCATTTTCATGTCAAGGCCTGCACAGAGAGTGCAACACTGACCCAAGGCCCTGAGTTAAGACACTGCCCACAGCTTAAGGGGACCAGCCCAGGGTTCATGGCTCCTTGTCTCTGCCAACCCACGCCAAGGCAAGACAACTTGTCACCGCCTAGCATTGTAAGCAACACCACGGAAGGCTCTGACCACCACGCAGAACACAGGAAACACCCTGGTGCAGGGCCAGCTCACCGTGGACACCTTCTCCTCGTGAGCTTCGGGACCCATTACAGTGATGGGTGCCTGAAACTTCCCAAGCCCTTCAGATTACATGTCTCCATTTCATTACCATCCACCTGTTTCTTCCTCCCTGATCTGAACAACAGACGCAGCACCCAGGAGGGGCCCTGGGGGTGGGGAGGAGGACGGGGTCGGACAAAGCTGGGTCAAAGAACACACTGTTGTTGAGCTGTGGTGCCAGCAGGAGTGCCACGACCGTCTTGGATTTACTGGTTTGAATGAGAAAGTCACACATTCGCTATGGACTCTTTGTAAGAAGTGAGTCCAGGTATGGGTCACCAGGCCCTTCTCGTTCAAGAAGGGAAAAAGGACCAGAGCTGGGCCACCTCACCATGTTCTGCTGGCTGCTTCTGCCCCCTCTGGGGGACGCTTCTGGCCTTTTCAAAGCCACCAGGAGGGCAGGTTACACTCAGTCGTGTGGCACCACTGAGGAGATGTAGGATAAAGGCCGTATATGTCTGTCCAGGTCACATGCTGGGGTGACCTTCGCTGGTCGGTTGGGTCCTGGGGGGAGGGTCAAGTCTGAAGAGCCGTCAGGGCCAGTGCCTGGGGAGTGACAGAGGCACTGCTGCCTGAAGCAGTGGGGGAGAAGGCAGTGTGTGGGAGGGAAATTCTGCTTTTCCCAGCAACTAGGGGACAAGGAGGTGGCACCCAGCAAGGCTAGGAAGAGAGAGCTAGAAGCTCACCACTGGTCCACCCAGTCTGCCTTCTTCTGCGCTCACAAGCCTCGCTGGACCCTGGCAGAGGTGGAAAGTAGACCTGCCGTGCAGCCCTATGCTGTATGCACTCCGGCACATTTTGGCCTTTGTTCCTTAAAAATATGCTTCCAGAGAACTCTGCAATCCACACATGGGGCTGGGGTCAGAGCGCAGTGATCAGCTGTGTGCTTAGCATGTGTCCTTCAAACCCCAGCACCCCACACACCCACTCAGACACACACACACACACACACACACACACACACATGCATGCAAGCTACAAAGATCACAGAAGCCAAATAATATCAAATGAGTGTGGCCGGATGAAGTCCTTTTGATAACAACACACAAACCTGCATTCTAACTACAAAGGGAAAACAGAGGGTACACGATGAAGACCCCTCAGAAAAATGTAATTTTTATATAGTACAAACAGTATAAAAAGTATAATTTGCCTTAGCAATTTAGTGTCTTATGTGGTTTTCAAGATCTGCCAAAGATCAAAGAATTAAGCCACGAAGATATAATCAACTAAGCTTGTATACACACATTATTTGCAAAAGAATGGTGTCATGGTTTATGTCTGTGTCCCCCAGGTCTCATGAGTCTGCATTGTGCATTTGTGATTGGTTCATTGTCTAGTGCTTGGATTGATCGTGTCAGTGCTCCACACACATAGGGGTGGAGCCAGGATGTGATGTAATGCCAGGAAGAAAGTGTGTCTTGCTGTTTGCTGGTTCCTGTTTTACTGTTTGCAGCCACCATGAACTGCGGCCCAGCCATGCCCGCCTGCCTTGGGGCCAACTGAGTGTGGACTGAAACCTCTGAAACTGTAAGAAATAAACCTTTCCTTTCCTAACTTGGGCATCAGGTATTTTGTCTCAGTGACGAGTAAAAAGTAACTAAGACAAATGGGAAAAAGTAATGTGACTCATCAAATCTAGAATAAGCATCCTCTACAAAACTGTGCCAAGTTTCTAAAAGCCAGGTTGGCCTGGAACAGAAGAAAACTCATCCAGACTTATCTGGAATAAATCTGTCCAGCAGTGAGACTGATTTATCCTTCTGCCTAGAGTTACACAGGCACATGGGCATATTCCAAGATATGCTGTAAGAAATAAGGATTAGGAGACACTCAGATCACTGATTTCAATTAAAATCATTATTACAGGATATTTTAAACTTGATTTTGCTTTGCTTCAATGCTAATGTGTGTGAGAGAGAGAGAGAGACTAACAGGGTTCGGGAAAGGGCTATTTAGCAAACAGTCAGACACTGTTTATGAAACCACATAATCAGGAGGCACATGCAAAGGAAATGTTGACTATTATTCAAAAGGAAAACGGGAAGGGAAGGAGGGAAAGAGCTGTGACAGCACACAGACCTTTAGGGGTAATGCTCCCTTCTGATCACCTCCAAACACTGGTAGGGATTTGTGCAAGGCCGTGCCATCTGGTTTAGGGAAAACTGACCACATGGTTCCGGCTGTGCCCTTGCCTGACTCCCCCTCCCCCGCCCCCTAGAGACCCTGCCTGGCTGCCTAAAGGCAGAGCTCCAGCAAAGTCTGTTTTACCTTCCCAGAAACAGCCCATGGCTAAGCCCTCAGGGCAGATCCACCTCCACCGGAAGGCATCCAAAAAGATTTACAATTTTGGTTGGATCTTTTCTGATTTTGAGTTTTTCAGTTGTTTCTTCTTTAAGTCAATTTTTGCTTTTAATAGTTTAACCACTTCTAGATTCCACTGCATAGCTAAACTAGAGCGCTCGCTCTATTTGGCAGTGACGAATCATGCTGTTTTAATAATACTAGACTTTTGTCCTTGTACCACTATCCTCATATTAATGGCACAAATAAGCATTTCGGATGTTTTTCTTTCATCATTAGAATACTATTCAGAACACATTTCTGAGCTGAAAGAAAAAAGCGGCTGTTTTTCCAGAAGAGTTTTGCTTCGCAGTCATAGCTTAACAGCTCCTCTCCTTTCTCTACATAGGAGGGACAAGAAAAGGGTAACACTGAACACGTTCTCGTGACTCACCAGTTACCAGAGGCACCAGGATCCTGAAGTGATTTTAGACTCAGACAGAGGAGGCACTGTAGTTTTCAAAAATCCCTATGGAGGGCATCTGTGGGCACAGAAGGAAGGAAAGAAGGAGAAAGAGAAGGGGAGAGAGGAAAATAAAAAAAGAGAGAAAGGAAGGGAGAATGGAGGGAGAAGAGAAGGAAGACCCTGATCTACCAGGTTCAGTGGTGAACCCCTACTATCCCAGCGACCACAAGTTCAAATCCAGCCTGGGCAACACAGCAAGACCCTGTCTCAAAATAAAATTAGAGCTAGGCTTACTTACACTATAACTTAGCAGCACAGTACTCCTAGCAGCACATCTCCAGTAGGCCAGTGACAAAAACACAGAACCTGCACCTTGACCCAGATTCACATTTTGCACAAAAATGAACTCAAAATTGATGACAGACTTAAATATAAACACAATACTATAAAACCTTTAGAAAACAACTCAGGGAACAATATTTAGGAACTTAGGGCTAGGCAAAGAAATGTCATATTTTCTACCAAAAGCAAAATTCACAAAAGGAGGAACTGATAGTCTGAACCATATCAAAGTTAAAAAACTTTTGTTCTGCAGAAGATTTTATTAAGCAGATACACCAGGTTACAAACCGAGAGAAAATACTAGCAAATCATGTATCTGACAAAGAACAAATATTTAGAGTTATACAGAATGCTCTTAATCCAACCACAAAAACTCAAAACAATTCGATTGGAAAATGGGTAAATGCATGAAAAAATTTCACCAAGGAGGAGACACAGACTGCCAATGAGCACATGAAAAGTTGTTTAATATAATTAGGCATTAAATCCAAATCAGGACTACACTAAGACATCACTACACACTTACTGGAATGTTAGCACCAAAAAAGCAGTAACACCTCCAAGTGCTGGTGAGAAGGCAGAGAAATGAGGTCCCTCGTGCCTCACTGACGAGACCCCAACTGGTACAACCGTTCCGGAAGAAGGATAGCGGCTCTTTAGTAAATGAAGCCCACACTTACTAGGGAGAGCCAGCAACTGCGCTCTTGGGCATTCAGCCCAAAGAAATAAGAATTCATGTTCCCATAAAGCCTTACACAGTGGTGATCCTAAAGTAGCTTTGGTTCTTAACAGCCAAAGCTGGAGACAATCCTAACTCTTCCATGGAAGAAGAATAAAGCTACAAAGATCCGCACAGACAATACTGCTGAACAACACGAAGGAATGAGTTGCTGATACCTGTAGCAGCCTGGACAGACATCAAGGAAATCAGTCTCTGACCACCTAGGGACTAAAACGTCCATACGCTAGGATTTCATTTTATTTCTTGAACTGAGTAATTACAGAGACTGAGGACATACTAGCAGTGGTCAGGAGTGACAGGCAGATAGAGCTGAGCTACACGAGGGCAGTGACATGGGATCCTTGGGAGGAACTGCTCTGTCTTAACTGTGTTATCGGCCCCACAAATCTGCCCCATCACCAAAATGCACAAATCTAACTATGTACAGGCGCACACACAATGGGTGCTGTGAACCTGCTGAGACCCAAGTAGATTGTGGTGACAATTTTGGACCACATGACTGCAAGGTGTTATCACTGCAGGGAAGTAAATGAAGGATACTAGGTTAAGTAATATTCTTTATGGCTATGAAGCCACAATTATCTCTAAGAAATCACACTGTTGTGGTCAGGGGGTGTGCAGAGAACAATTAGAATCAGGACACAGAATTGATAGTATTATTTTATGATGGTCACCCAGAGTAAAACACAACAAAAAGTGCAGGAAATCTGTCCACAACACTGACGACACAGAATATTCAGCCGAGGGCCTGGATCCCACAGCACTGTCTTATATGAGTCCAGATGGAAACCTAGAGCCCATGACAATGCCTCCCACGAGTCCAGCTGGAGGTCTAGAGCCCACAAGAAGGACTCATGCCAGTCTCTTTTATGGATCCTTGCTGGGAAAGGTCAGTGTGGAAGCCAAGAAGTCTATGACAGTGGGGTGAAGGAGCTGTGCTGGTAGATTGAAGGTTCTACACGGGAGTCAAGAATTCACGCTCAAAATAAGAACCAGGACTGTCCTGAAAAGCACCACAGTCATCCTCAGTGACATGGAGGCCTTGAGCTCCTCTGACGATAAGAACTGTCAAGTACATGCCAGAAAGCCCTCCTCCTGGAGATTAAACGCACATGTCTTCCCCCTCTGGAACCAGGAAACAATGCTTGATATAAGGACCAGAGCTCCCCCAAAGTGAACCACAGCTGCTCTCACCAACAAGGTTCCGAGCTCCTCTGAGGATAATGGTTGAACTCACACTGGGGAGGCCAGGCATGATGAGCTCCTCCAGAACCACTGGCAAAAAACAGGCAACACTTAGAGAAACCCACAGCACCTCAACCTTCTTCTCCATGTCTCTATGCTGGCAACTTTCCTCAAGTGGAACATCTACACTCAGCACCATGCTCATTTAATCCAGTTGGCATTAAGCTGACCACCAGCTTTCAATCCATAACATGGAAGGTTCTTATTTACTCTAAATGTCCTATCTTGCTAACATCTCACCCACCCTATGCCTGGTTTCGTCCTTTTCCAACCTCAGTACTCTCCATAGTCCTTACTCCCTAAGAGTGGGAAACACCACACAACAGTACGTTTAACTCTCATACACCAAAAACAGCAGTTTACTGTTCCTAACTGGCCACACTCTGTGCGGACAGCCCATAAAGCGGACAAAATACTTTCTGAGTCTCAGCGACCTCATCAGGAGAATGAGGCTAAAATAACCTGTGTCACAGATTTACTTTGAGAATAAATAAAAAAATAAAAAACACTAACAATAAATCCTCCAAGTATTTCCTTCCTTTTCCTATGAGCAAACTAAAATTCAGCTTAATTGCTAGATAAATACATTGACCAAAAAACACCTTTGGTTTCAGTTTCACGGTGCACATTTAGAAAAATGCATCTTTAGTTGGTCTAGACTGCAGGTTGGGGATAGAATGAGGCTAAACTCCTTTATTAAGCACTTCAGTTCCATGATGATCACATTCAGCCTAAATCCTCTGAGTGTCAAAGTGCTTTAGCTATCAGAATGGTTTATAAGTGTTTAGCATTCATTTTATTATGATGACTGGACACCTGATACAGAGATGTTTAAATTTGCAAACTGTAGCCAATTGCATACTGGGTTACTACCGTTCAGATAACAAGCACTGGGTATGCATTAGGTAAACTCAAGTCTAACAGTGACTCTGATTCCAATGATGTCACTTCACCCATGCCCTCTATTGTACCTATAAAATGCCTTTTTACTAATGAACCCCTCATGGAGTGACAGGCTTTAAATGCATCATACATTTTTAGTTACATAGCTCAATTCAGCTATGGAACAGTGGCAGCTGGGCACCTACAACTCAGAATTCAAGGTGAGCTGCTAAACACAGAACTGCAGAAAATGCAGGATGGCAACTGTCAAAGGAAGAAACCAACATTGCTTCTCTAATAAGTAAGCAAATTAAACAGGTTTAACATCTACTGCTTACTACTTTGTTTATGAGTAGTCACCAATCACAAGATGTCAAGTTATACTAGAGGACAAAGTCCCCTCAATATTTTTTAAAGCAATTTTTGCAAAATGAAGGCTTACTAACTGGAGACTTAGCTCAGTGGTGTAAGTGCCTGCCTGGCAAGCACAAAGTCTGGAGTTCAATCCTTGGTATCAGGAAAAAAAAAGAAAAAGAAAAAAAGAAGAAGGCTTACCGAGCAAAATAACTTTGTTTCCGTTCCTTCTTCTCTTCCTTGGTATCCATAATATACAACCCAAAGTGCAAAATACTTGGAAAAGTCCTTTGTAATCAGTGAGTCATAGCTCTGTAATGAAAAGAAAATAACAAAACAGGTGTAAATGAAGAGGTCTTGATGACAGAATGGAGAATAAAGCAGCATAGAGCTACATGGCCCCAAACGAAGGCAGATAAACTTTAACCAGGAAACAGTCACATGAGCCAAACCCAAAATGCAAATGTCCATGGGGTGAACGAACAAACCACAAAACTGCAATTAGAATGGAGATGCTAGATAAGCCAGGTGGCAGGTGGGTCAGGGACGGAGACCACACTGTTGTGCCTGACTCATAATTAACTATTATTTCAAAATATGCCAGAATGAAAACGTTCACTGTTTTCGTTCACTGACTTTGGAAGATTGCAGGATCAACCTGCAGATGCAAATTATTTTTTGTAAAGCCTTGAGCTCAAAAATCACTCCATCCGCATAATTCATAATGAATACATCTCACAGTCAATTTCGTAAAATGGCTGACCTAAGTGTCTCACAGAAATGTTTTTTCTTAATAAAAATAACCTTGGCGTTCTGTTTTATTTTCAGGAACAGGCCAGCAAGCCCGTCCCACTTGAGCAAATGTGGAAATGAAAGTACGGAGACTCAGGAAACCTTTCTTCAGAACAGTTTTCTCCGCCCGTTCTCCCCTGGCCCCAGCCAGCACACCCTCACCTGGCCTTGCTGGCTCTGGTGGTTTAAACCTGTAATAAAGGCTGCCTTCAGATCAATCTTCCTTAACTACCACTTTGGCCATGCTGTTACCCTGCTCAAACATTTCCAGTGTCTACAAAGCCTGCTTCACCAATCTCAATTTTCCGCAAAGCATTAACACCCCTTACACCTGTCCTTTTACCTTGAAGCATCTGTATGTTTACCAAGCAAATTTAAATTTTCAAAAATGCAAAGTACCCTCATCAGTCATGATTATTTACTTATTCATGTCAATCCAAGGGACAAGTGAATCCGTAACGCATATTCCACAGCTCCAGAGCACAAGGGTAAATGAGACATGATATATGCTCTGATGGAACTCACTGTCTGCCCAGGGAAACAAAGGATTTCAAAACAATGGGGTATGCACTAGTACAGGAGGCACTGGACACCCATTTAGCCATGCTGATTTTGATGCCTGTATTTCAGAGTATCTTGCTGTACACTATAAACAAACAATTTTAAAAATATATATTAATAAACAAACCCACAGTCTTCTGCAGAACCTACCCTCACTGTGTACACACACACACACACACACACACACACACACACACACACGGAGGTTGTGAGTATGGGCTTCCAGGTGAGGACCGGGAAGCAAGGTCATGGGATTCTCTACTGCCCAGATAAAGCAGGGAGCACAGTGCTGGAGGAGCTGAGTGGCAAGCCATAGACAGATCAGCCTCTGGAAAGCCCATCTACACCCAGTGATGAAACCTGAGCTCAAGCCCAGTGACACCCCTCCAGCCACCCTGCTCTGGGCCACCTTAGCTGCCATCACAACATGACCATGGTAGACCCAACAGCAATGCCTGCAACAGCTCTTCTCTCACTGGTCAGGATGGGCTCAGAGATGAAAGCAGTTTCCTCATCCCTGATACACAAACAAAGAGTTTTCCCCGAGCAGAGCACAGTGTGACCAAAGCACAGCAGGACAGGATGAGCTCCAGAAGATGAAGAGGGAGGAGCAGACTCCCAAGAAAGAGATTACAGCACAGAGCGGGAAGTAAGGAGGGTCCAGACCCAGGTGATGGTGGTCAAACAGGGTAAGTTGAGGTGAGCCCAGGAACCACAGGGAGTCAAGGTTTGGCGACCCATTCTACAAACAACACAGGACTGCAGAACAAAGCCCCTCTAAGTTTCTGCTTCAGCAGTAAAGCGAACTACGTCAGCAAAGACATGACATACACACAACATGAGGGCAGAGCATGTAGGCTACAAGGCACCCATCCCAGACGTGTCACCTTCAAGGTGCACAAGGATAATCAGCAGGGGACACTCAGTGTGGCAGTCAGGGCTACAGAAAAGGAATCTGATATCCCCAGCATATAGTTGTAGTTATAAGAAAGGAAAAAAACTGCAGTGATGAGATCATTCTGGAAGCTTGACAACAACACACAGGGCCTTGTGTGGAGACGATAGCAGAAATGTTTTTAACTCAACTGGGTCATTCCCAAGTCCCCCGTGTAGGCTCCATTCTGAGTTCACCATTAGGCGGGGAATTCAGACACCGGCACATAACTGAAGTGGAAGGTAGCGATTTAGCGTGGGCCAATGAATAATCCTAAGAATCTCCAGACCACGGTAAGGTCATCTCTGACTGTGGTGATTAATCTTTCAGGGAGCTCAGGGTTTCCCTGGGTGAAGAGAACTATGGAATTTCAGAAGGAAGCGATACAAGAATGAGCTTTTGCTTAGGGATGAGGGCGAAAAGAGCAAGACACATTTAGGCAAGAGAGAGAGACTGAGGCTACCAAGTAAGGAAAAGAGGTGAACCTTGAGCACTGTCTAGCAAGTCTTTTATTTCAGCACACTATCCTAAAGCTAGCTCATGAATCCTTGCAACAACATGACAATTCAGATACCTATATTTGCCTTACACTGAGGCTAAGAGATGCCAGTTGATTTCCCTAGTTCAACAGCACTGCTGTAGTGGAGCAGGGATGTGAAACCAGTGCGGTGTACACCGTGGTGTATTTCAGCAACCTTTGGGCCAGAAAGCAACTGTAGACAACTAGGTAAAGTACTGAGGCGCTCACAGCAGTGAGAGGAGGTTAAACATTACATTAAGGCAAATATAACTGGCCTTTACCAGGGGAGCCACTGAGGATGCCCAGTGGTGTACTGGTGACGCAGGAGGAGGAGGAGGAGTCAGGCTGTGATAAGGTTAGGCCGCTTAGATTCACTCAAGGATCTGAGTGATGAAAGAAAGAAGGAAAGGAAAGATGGTGGCAGCTCTCCCAGGCCCAGACTCACGGTGTGGGCTGAACCGGCTGGGGTCCTCCTCAGCTCTGCACCCTCATCCTTACCCTTTCCCAAGCTTGAGGTCACCTGTTCTCCTCCTCCTGACCAGATCAAGGCCGAGATCTGTGCTTTCTACCTTTCCCGACCACTTGGGTGCCCTTTTCCCCTCCTTTTTGGGAACTGGGCTCACAGGTCACCTCTCAGATACCGTGAGGCACCTGATCATATTCTGGGTCACGAGGACACTTCACTTGGCCTTCTCAGCTCCAAACCATAAGCTGCCTTCCAGTCAAGCAACACCTGATTCACATTTCCCCCATACTTCCCTGAATAGCTGCCATGGAAATATGTAGAAAATACACACAAATATTAAGCAAGGAGCTAAATTAATCCAGAATCAGACTGCACACCAACATAAACCCAAGGGTTCCTCCCAAATTAAGAATTATTTGAAGTACAGGGATGTAGTCTTGCACTGGCCTGGTGAAGACTCTGGAAAGATCAGGATTCTAGCTCTGTCTCTGCCATGCCAGGTGGTTTATTTTGAAGCTCCTCTCCTACAAGCAGGGGTTGTAACAACCCCTGCTTATTAAGTTTCTCCTCATGAATAAAAAATGAAGCCATAACAATCTAATTGGAAAATTTTTATATTGCCAGCTGAGCCCAAAGCTAACATTTGATTCTAGTAGAAAAATATTGATAGAAATAAGCAAAAGAGAAAAGGATTAAATGAGCCAAGAAGTGACAGGTGGTACAGCCGTATCTGTTTAGAACTAGGGAGGCTTCATTATTTCTCAATATTCCATTAGATAAAATACAAATATGCTAATGATCGGTGTCTTCTAAGTGTCTATGAATCTTTATTTCACAAACAAGAAAGATGCACTCTTTTCAGCTCTAAACATACTAGCAGATTAACCAGAATGAGGTTGGCAGTGCATGCTGTAAACACTATCTGCACTGAACACCCCTGCTATGACTTGTATCTAGGTGTCACCCCAAAGCTTCATGCAGTCACAGGGGCGCTTTTTCAGAGGTGGCTGAATCTAGAGTGTGTGACTGATTCAGGGTGCCATGCGAGGATTATAGGTGGGTGATTACTACATCAGTTCATTGATTGGTTTGGCACCGCCCAATCCCAGTAGCCTGGAAACGATAAAAGGGACAGAAAGAGGCTCGTCCTGTCCCTTGCTTGCTTTGCTGCCTTCTGCCCACTGTGAAATGCTCTCCTCTGTGATGCCTTCTCCACACTACCCTGCTTGGAGCCAGCCGATGATGGACTGAAACATCTATAAATGGAACCAAATAAACCTTTTCTCCTTTGAACTTTGGGTGTCAGCTATCTTGTCTCAGCAATGAGAGAAAAGGAACTAAGACAACCATACAGCAGCCTACTGGCTTCAGTGCAGAACCAAAGCTCTCTACACCAGCCTCTAATGGAGATGGCATTTTCCATTTTAAGTGGTTGTAATGGGTTTCTTAGAAGCCTTTCATTCATTTAATGTCGACTTTTCCCCACATCAATACACAACAGATTCCTTCAAACACTAGCTTCAAGCATCACCTGCATTAATGCTGCACATTTATGAAGCAGTATAAGACCTACCTTCCGTTTAAATGTTTCTTTTTGCAATCCCAAATCAGGATAGCCATGCTAAACCCAAAGGTAGTTCATTCTTCCAAACAACAGCAGAGAAAAGCCCTATCTCATAAAACTTGTTAAAGAAAAACTTTTTTTGTGTTCCCTACTGCAGATCATGGCACCATTCAAACAGAATTTAAGAAGGAAACTAGCAGAGGTTCCCTGACCACATGACACCACAGTTTTACGCTGGACTCCACAGCACAGCACAGTTTTCTGGATTCACATCAATTCACTGTGGATCCTTGACATTCAAGGATGACTGCTCAGGACTAAGCTATTTTGTCCACTAACTGTTTTCCCAACAACGTGTTTCCCAACACACACATGAAACCAAGGCAGGAACACTGGTCACGAGTTCAGCCACTGACGCGACAGGCCAAATACACCCTCCTGTGCAGCTATTTCCTCCAAGAAAACATTTATGTTTATACCAAAACATGACAGGTGTTCAGTCTCAAAGTCACACTGTCAACTAAGCAAAGGAAGGACATTCAAATCTTGGTGGTCACCAAGGTCAAAAATTTGAATACCTTCAACAAGAAACCTAAAGAGAAAGACACGGAACCAGACATAAAGGTGTGCGATAAAACCTGTAAGGGGTGAAAGCGGGGAGCAAGGTCCCCAGTTAAACAAATGTGTATCACGAAAGACAAAGTAACAATTGAAAACAACTGCACAGCAGCAAAGAGACCCGAAGCTACGTCTCAGACAAGGTGATATTCCAGGAAGCACCGGCTGTGTGGAAAAGTGGGAGGTTTTGGATGGAAAAATGAGTAGATAATCCTCAACCCTAGTCCCTTTTTTTGTCTGCCTAGGGAACTTAAATTTGACCTGAAAAGAATTAAACAAATGAAGGGTCTGTGCTCTCTGGCCTAAAAAGAGTGAAGAAATTCCACTGAAGTCCTAATTTTGCTCAATGAAGGCTCTGTCCTGGGCCAGAGAGATTTCTCAGGTTCTACGGGCAGATCTGGAAATGAGATTTCTACCAAGTAGGGATCGGGAATCAGGAATCGCCAGAGATGTGGGGAATGGCATCAATTTGAAAACAGACAAATGATTTTAACTTTCGGCATTCAAGACTGTGCCGCTATGGACTGGAGATCATCTCTACCCAAGGAATTCCTG